ATATAAAGGAATTAGCAAGAAATCATTAAATGCTTTTGTGAATAATTTAAGTAAACAGTCAAAAATGAAAAAATATATTTGTATATAGAGCAATTGTATAATAAAATGGCTAGAAACCCAAATAGTTGGGAAGCATATAGTTGCAGCAATTAATTATAATTATAAAGATTACAAAATTAAAATTATAATCATAAGTAATATAATATAATATATAATATATCATAAGTAATGTACTTAATAATATATATAAACAAAAATTACCTATATTATTAACATAAATTATTTTAAATAATTATTTATATAACTTTTATTAATATAAGGTAATTCTAATATAATTTAATTTATTAAAAATTAAAATACTAGTTAATTTTAATATAAATTTTAATTTAATAAAATAAAATATGAAAAATATGCTTTAGTAATTCATCATAATTCATAGTGTACTTTTGTTTTTTTTCTCAATTTATTTATATGAATTATTTACTAATAATTTAAATTAAAAAAAAAACTTAAAGTACATTTTCATATATAAAAATAAATAATTAATAATTTAAAATATATTATTAGAAAATTTATTATTACAATTACTATGTTTCTAAATATTGCTATAAAAAACATTTAAAAATTATCCTAAACAAAATTAAAAATTTAAATATAAAAATTTAATTTCTAAATTAATTTGAATTACTGGAAATCTTTTCTAGAGATATAAATCATATAATATATAAAAACATCTTCTACATATATAAAAAAATATTTATAATTAATTTTAATTTATAAACAAACTTTTACTTAAATAAGCTAATAAATAAATTAATAATACAAGATCCTACATAAAATACAAATTTATTATTAAATTTAAATTGCAAATGATGCCAATATAAATAATAAATTATACACAATCACTTATATACATACACTTATATGATATACACTTACATATGTAATGCTATTAAAAAGAGAAATGACATATATATGAAATATTTATATATACTAAAATTTTATTAAATTAGATTTTATTAAATTTAACTGAAAATAGTTGCTAGTTATATATTATATAATAATGAAAATTGCTTCAAATGAGCAATATAAAATGAGCTATAATCGGTCAATAACGATTATTACATACCTAACATGTTATGTGAATATAATGAAATGTTTTTTTCTTAAATGTTAGAAATTTGTTTATGTCATAGTTAGAATAGAATTTCCATATAAGATTACAATTGTTATTAATCTAACTTCATTGAGTATGTAAAGATGTAAGGTTTAATGTAAAACTCCTTGCCTAGCGATTTATAAATAAGATTTACAAGACTTTTCACTTATAATTGCAAATAATAAATTTTACCTTAACTCAGTTTAATAGTAATTTTATAGCATAAACTATTCATTTTTATTATTTTTATTTATTTATATATGTACCGAAATGAAAAATATTTTTTTTATCAACAGACTTTTTCAACAATTCTTAATCTGAATTTCAAATCTAACAAACAAAAAATGCTTGTTCTTCTCTATTTTTTTAATGTTTGGAGGATGAGAGGTCCAGAAAAAATTACAACTTTGCATCTAAGATAGATATTGTTTATAACCAGATTTCTATAATGTGAGCACACATAATAACAATTTTTGAGACATATAAATTTTTCTTATAAGTGACTTTTTCGATATTTTTAATTTGAAAATGCAAATCCAAGAGTCCAAAGCGCAATCCCACACAAACTGAACCAAATATATTTCCCTAATGGATAGAAAAAATAAGACGGAAAATAAACTTATGATGCTCTGAAAAGTAATGAACTGCATGTAATGATATCTGTTTATGAAACTTATAAATTGTCTATAATAATTCTTATACATGATTATTATGTTTGGTTCTGGAAACAGTAATACTATGACGTTTATGTACTATGTACTTTTAAGTATAATAAAAATAAAAAATTGTAATGAACTGAAGACGTGTATTAGACTAAAGATATACCGACATCTGTAGACACCTTCTAGAATTGGTTTACTTATAGAAATTCAAAAAAGAAATCATTCCAAAGTCACATGTGAAATCTAAGTGTAACTTATTAGACTTATGACTTACCTCCTTATTTGTATGTAAAATATATTTATTCCATTCGAAATGCCTGTTGGTCTATAATAGTAAAAATATATAAGTTTTAGTAGTCCATTTTAATATAATATTGTTACTTATGGACTTCTAAAATTTTATATCAATTCTTAATTTGAACTGCATAAAAAAACTTTATTAAAAAATGTTTACATATATATATAATTATTATGTCAGTTTGTGCAATAATCTTGATTCCAAAATAATATTAGATATACACACAATAATTACAAAAAATCGTCCTCAAAACTTAACGATAATTACTTTCACTGAAAGTATTTGACTTAAGATCATTTTAAAACTACCGAAAAAGTAATTATATCTTGAAAAGCTAGTTTATAAGTGGTATGAAAATGCATACATGCCACCAGACGCATCACCGATCTACACCTAAATAATGTCTAATCATGTTACTCTTTGAGTTTCTCGTAAGTAAATTTAAGATAGATGTTAGCTATGATGCATTCACTAGAGATGATAAGAGAACCAATACTTAAGCACAACAATAAATGTTGCTTAGTTTGCGCTTCTATAATAACTTTCGAAAATATCTAAGTACCTCTCTGCGTTACAGATAATATGTTTTCTTCTATGATTCACTCTTCGTTAATTTCAATTACAATTTTATATTCTGCGTTTTAAGTCTTTTGCTATTATATTTCTCAATTTCCATTTTATATTTGGAACGTATATTTCCGAATCTGCAACCTCAAGTAATTTCAAAGACCTTATTATGGATTTAACTTATTTAGATTTAATTAAAAAGGAATATAGTATAAATTAATGTTGTCTCTTAAACAATTTAATTAAAATTGTACAACATTACTAATACATGTAAAATAAATAACGTTTGTAAGTATTAGTTAATTTGCTTTTCTTATAAGTCCATTTATAGTACATTTAAAGAAAGTATTTAAATAAAATATCTATTATGCATATAAATAGTACACATATATAAATCCCTTTCCGGCAAACACCCGCCCAATAAATATTTATTAGATATATAGTATGTATAGAGAAAGAACGAGTAGTACATACATTTGTACATAACACATTCTACAGACTAACTGAAATAAACAAAAAAAAAATATTATCATTCATTTAAATTTTTAAAAAATTTATATAACTATATGTGTATTATAAAATAATATATATGAAAAACAAATTATTCGTTTTAATTTACATTTAAAGTATATAAATACTTTTTTTTTTTTTAATTAAATATAATCTCTAATAACAATTCCAAGCCATATATTTAATTTAATTATTTAAATAATTTAATTGAACTACACATGTAACTAATGTACAACAACAAATGTTAAATAAATTAAATTTATGTGTTGGCATTTTAAATTAAAACTATAATAATTATTTGAGTTTTAGTTAATTTAGTTATATCATAATAAGAATTTACAGTTGACTGAAAAATTATTATTATTATATACATTAAAATATTTACGATACCTATTATGAATAATATATTATTAATACTAGTAATAAAGAAAGGAATTAAATAATAATTAATAATAAATACATACTGATATGTACACACATATATATATAAATATATATTGAAAAGAAACTTATATATATATATTCAGATATACGTACTTATATGCGTATATATGGATATATATATACAATATATATATATATATAAGCATGTTAATTTATTACATATGTATGTATATATATATATATAGATGTACATATACATATATATATATGTATATATGTATGTACATATTGAATATATATTATAAAAAAATAAATTCCATATAAATTAGGCAAATTTCGTCAAAGTTCATATATAAAGAAATTATTAGCATAAAATTTCAATTAAAAAAAAAAATTACAAATTAAAAATATAAAAAATCTTACACAAAACACATAGACACGAATTAATTATGTGTAAAAAGTATATACATTAATAACTTTTAATCCATTTCTGAATGTTTTTCATTGAATTTTATTTACAAGAATATATATACGTATATATGTATATGTATGTATACACATATATACATATAAAAGATGTTTAATGGACTTTTTCAGACACAAAAATGTTTGAAAATTTTTTCTTTAAGGCAACAAAATTGTACGTGCATTAAATTTAATTGCAATAAAAAAAAACTGTATTCGAATATTCAGAAGAAAAAAAATAAATTGAATAAAATGTTAAAATTAATTAAAACAAATCAAGTTTTAAATGAATGGGTAAATGTGGGTATATACTTTAAATATATTTTATATATCTTAACTAAGAAATTGGTTATGTGCAGCATCTTCGAAACAGGTTAAAAATACACGGATCAAACTTATTTACATATACTATATTATATAGACTTATTTACAAATATAATATTGAATATATATATACCGTAATATTTTTGAATATAGCAGATAGCAGATAGCAGATAGCTGTAGATAACGATGATTATTCATCCACATATGAATATATATAAGTCATTCTTATATAGTCTTAAAGCTCACTTTCATTTTTATCGAAGTTTAGTTTTTTAAATGCTATATTCTACCACGTTCAGTTACACTTGTGAGCACACTTCCACACCTCTTCCGGATTATTGCAGTCCCTTAGGCATATATGCTGCGATTCGATTCTATAACATTGCTTAAAGCTTTACTTTAGTTGCTATAGGGTAAATATAGGGTAAATACAACGAAAAAAAAAACTCATTTCTATTCAAAATTAAATGCTTTATTTAAAAATTTAAAGAAAAAAATAATCACTAGAATTCGTTACGAAAAAAAGAAAATAATTATTTTACAGTTGACTTTGAATTTGCAATTGAAATAAAAAATGCATAAGACTAAAACGAAAACAAGAAATGAAAAGAAACTCGTTTCACACAATAAATACAATTTTTCATACTTAAAACGATTATTTTTTTTAGTCTACAAGTCTAAAAAATAATCTTAAAAAACATCACAACAAATGGTACTAAATTATCTCCCCTTTGCGAGTAACCGAAACAGCTCGAATAAAGGTATTTTATCTACGCCGCACACCATGATATTCGCCATTCCGCACTGATCTCGCTTTGCCTGGAAAACCGCGCGCATAGGGTGGCTTTGCGTTAGTCGTAACATAATACGTACCACGTGCCCTGAAATGTCAATAAAATCTATTCGTTAGTCTATTCGAACACACCAATAATAAGGCTCTAGCCCTTGAGGATACTTACTTATGTGAGACATGTTCACCCATTAGCACATATTCAGAATCCTTGGGCTCACACCAACCGATTAGATATGTGAAAAGGTTTGGGCAAGGACCCGCATAAAAACCCCGCTGTGTTGTGATTGACTCAATAAAATAAGGAGTTACTTTCGTGTGATCGCAAGCTAGTGTTTCTATAAGTTAACAAATTGTTATATTTATTTTCACATATTTTGTCACTTTTACTTACGAAATAGTGTAGATGAACCCACACAGGCAGGTTGTCGTGTACCACCATTTACATAAAAGTCAGCATGTCCACTTGAGTGCCATTGACCTAAGATCCCAGCGCCTGTGTGCAACACATCTACGAAATTCGCATCCGTTGCGTCTAAGTCACGTGAATTATTTGAACCGGCATAGAAGAAAATTGTTGGATCCAATGCAGTGATACGACCCAATTTTCCCTCTTCTGGCCTTAGATAGTTAGCAATCAAACCAGCAATATGCGCTCCTACACTATAACCAATGAAATGCAAGTCATTTGGTTGCACACCACGTGGATGTCGCGCTAAATATTTGACTAGTTGGGATATGCACAAACTACCAAATCTTGGCGCCCACTCCATTTGACTCAGGCACGGCTCTTTTACGGCTGTGCTATAGTCAACAATTATGATATTGTATTCACCAATACTGAAGTATGCTTCTCGTAAATCTGGACTAGGACTAAAATTGCGTCCTCCGCCAAAACCGTGAATGATAATTTTAGTTGGATGTCGTGGATTGAAGTGCGTATAGTAGAGTGCGTTATCATCTAGTACGTCGATGAACTCAGGATTCTCCTGTGTGCGTCGTGTGTAAAGGTAAAACTGAATTTTCGGATGCGGACAGCGATAGGGTTTTTCCAGGCAGGAATCAGTGACATAGACTTGATTTGTATCATTTTTTGTTTCTTCCGCAACTGCAAATATTGAAAATTGAAAAGAATTTGATTTAAAATGAGAAGAGGGAATTTTTTTATACATATATGTGTATATATTATTACAACATTTATGAGAATTCGATACTTTATAAAACCAAATCTAAGATTTATCAAGAAGTTGCGTTTAGCTTGATCAGATATTTATTCACGTAGAGTTATTGCTACCATACGGATGCATTTATTAAATTTAGGTAAAATGTGTAAGTTCTTTGTGATATAGAGTGATTTTGAAAGATACTTCTATAACTCAAATCTCTCTATAACTCGAATAAAAATATTGTCACGTGCTAATAGGAATATGGGAAAGTGCATTCTAGAAGTCGAATTTTTGTTTTAAGTATGAATCCATTTTGGTGTTATTGGAAATCCCTTTTCCCAAACCAAATGTTGAATTTTTTCTTTCTTATGCGTCGTTGGCATATTTGTGAAAATGCATAGAATTTGCATTTCTTCCACCGAATATGACCTCTAAATTGCAACCGCTTGACCAGGGAGCAATTCAAAATTGGAAGTACAAATATAGAAACAAACAAAAAGCAAGATTTTACACTTATGGATTGCATAAATCATGCAACAAAAGCTTGAGATAGTGATGTAAATAGTCAAACGATAGCTGGATAGCTACATGGGACTAACAGGACGACATTTCTTTAGTTTTTTTGAATTGATAACATTGATAAAGACCGTGAATTAATGGAACAAAATTATGAAGCGTGGTTTAAAGCAAATAAAATAACTTCCAATGTGCTACTCTTAACACTAATATATTGAGCTTGATAATGATGTTTGCTCTGAATTTGTGGATCGGATTCTAAGCGCAACGGAAAGTGATGCTGAGAGTTTGGTGGATGAAATTGTTCATCAGCCTTCTAAGAGTGAAGTAGAAGATTTATTCATAATACTGAATTTTTATTAGCAAACGAATGATACTACAACTGATGATCACTGTAAGGCTTTGAAATAATTGGTATGTCTTTTTACTGAAGATGAGAGAAAAAAATTAAAATCCCAAACTCTAATTTCTGAATATTTTACTTCACTATAACTTCTGTGCTGTATTTGATTTCAAATAAATAAATAAATATCTAACAATGTAATTCTTGTTTCTTTCAAAAATAAAAAGAAATTTTTCTAGCTGAATTCTCCATTAGTCCAACCTTTTCTTTGCAAAATGGTACTTCTAGTTATATAAGTTGGACTGTATTTTATATTTCATTACGATCACACACAGAGCAGTCACGTTCAGATATATTAAATTCTCTAGCCCCCTGTATTTAAAGTACTATAATCGCTGTCTAAAAGTGAACCGATAATTTTCATAAAATTAATCAATCGGATTTGTTTTAATGTTTTCACAAGTATACTTTATACTATATAATATAAATAATATTATTTATGGCACACGCAAAAGGTCATATTCTAAATAGTTTATGTCGCATATTTTATTTCACGTTATTCCAATCGTTGTGTGGATTTTCGGCAAATAAACTTTAAAGCAAACTTGTTGAGCAGGGCTCTGTAATTCAACATATCTAATCAGATACTCAGCCAATTAAAAAAAAACTGAAGAAATAACAAAAACTACTGCCGCGAAACGCTCCAGCAATTTCAATTAAATCGCTGCGACGTGTACTGAAATTTTGTTACCGATTGTATCTGTATCTGCAATTATACGAGTACTTGTATCTGTAACGTGCAATGTATTCGGCTATCTACGTTGCAAGCAAGCACATAAAATTATGTATGACTTCCCAATTTTCGCAACTAAACGTTAATTCAATGAATTGTCACAGTTGGATTTTTTGTTGCTGCAATCACCTTTGTTAGATACAAAAAAAACCGTAAGATTAATATACGTCATCAAAAAAGCTAGTTCATTTAGCAAATTAATAGGCTTTACATCAACAAACATTCACAAAACATCACAAGGAAATCTCTTAGTAACTAAGTCAGTAGCTGATAGCTAGCCTAACCGACCAGCAGCGCTTCTATGCGGTAATATCTGCACCGATACAGCAACGCTACGCTGCACTTTTATGAATTGTTTTTGCTTTTGGTTTTGCTTTTGTTTTTATTTTTATTTTTTGCTCATGTTGCCAACATACATAATATTTTATTAATTTTATCTATAATAACTATTATATAAAGTATATAAACTATAAACTATAAACAGCATTTAGTATCTGTCTATGTTTGCGCGCCTGATTGGGAAATCAAGTTAATAAAGCAGATACTTATTATGCAAGACAAATATTTGATGAATGAGAAACGGAACTTGAAGCTTAAAACTTAATAGCGCGATTACTTAATATTTGCAACTAATTGAACGCAATTAGAAATTAATGGTTAGGGAAGTATAGAATCAAGAATTAAGCTCACTAAAATGTTAGAAAAAAAATTAATTTTTTGCTTAATTATGGTAAACTTTAATTGTACGATCAGTGATAAAAAGATTATTAGAGAAATAGTTTATATGAGCTAAAACGTTTCGATATTTCTATTAGCCAACCATATAACAATTGCATAGAAAATTTAGAGCCGGTACCGGTGCCGTCGCTCTGCCGCTTGAACGAGACATATTAAGAGCTGATTTTACAGTCACAAAACTGACTTATATATGAATTAAGTTAGAAAAGTTGAACACTTAATCATGATTTACAATCAACCATCATTATACAGAATTATCAAAGAATTTTGTTATGTTTTACCTGATGCTCTAATAAGGTTGGTTTCCTACGAAAATAAGTGCTGTGTTGAGCATGTTCCTTAACTCCTATATACTTCCCCAACCTCAATGGTTGTAGTTGTCGAAGAATTTGTACTTAGAGAGGCGAATGATAATTTATATATACATCTTCAATCTCGCGCAACGAAAATTGTTGCAATTTTCCAACTTAATATATAGGGCCTATAACCACTCGAACGTTATGTTTGTTTACGAATTATTCCATTGAAAAATTTTTTTATTCAAAATAAAAAAAGATGTTTCATTCTATGAATCCAGTTTTTGAAAATTCTTTTTGGAATTTATAAAGTTTGCCCTTGAGCTCGAGTCTAACTATTTGTGGTATGATTAGTTTCAAGATGTTTTGTCGTGTACTAACTATCTAATTCATTTCTACTGCAGATGTGGGTTTTTTTTTACCACTACCACCATAGCTTTGTATCACTGCGTCAGTTCGGAATACGTAACATTTCTACGCATTGACAGATCGAAGACTGAAATAGTAGCCAATTGTACTTTTTCGCTCGAACACTATAGCACTATTACACTATTACGTTTGAGTTCCAACACGTACAAAATTTAAAAAAAAAAAAAATTAAGACACAAATACTTTTATATAATAAAAATAAATATTGTTAGTTGAGATATGGATGTAGTGTTGCCACCACTTTGCAAGCTATAGCATTTCATAGTTCATTTAGTAAATTCCTTCTTCCTTTGGTTTGGTCCTTTGATATAACATACTATAATCCTAATCGAACGTTAAAAGAAGGGTCGGGAAAGCGACCGTTATGCATCTTTATCTTCAGGAAGCTATTTTCCGAAAACTTATTACATTCTACAAAATTTAATTCTTTCATGTACATGCATATATACATTAGTGCGTATATTCATTATTGTATAGAATTTAATTAGTTTATATTAATATGTTCATATGTATTCCATAGCTTGTGCCTTTCTTTTTCCGCCTTCTATTGAACTCCCGCCTATCGTTCAACAAATAAATTTTGAGAGCCATGCGGCCCGGTAAATACCCAACAAACAACATTGACTTTCAGTTTCTTTCGCAATACCCATACGAAATTATGAGCATTGAACTACAAAAAAAAAACACAACAACAACACTAAATCAAATATAGAAACAATAATAATTTAACCTGTTACTTAAAGTTACAACAACAAATATGAAAATAAACATATCATATGAATGCACCGCTTCTTGGCGATGCAAAAGAAGCGCAAAGAGCGCACTAACTGCTGCCTTATAAGCAGTAACATGAGCACATACAATACCAATAACAACAACAAGCACTACTGCTACAACAACAACAACAACAACAACAACAACGGTAACAATAATAAAACTGTTATAGTAAAAAAAATGCGAGGTAATCGATGAAACACAAATGAACATAAAGCAGCGATGCAACAAAAAATTATGGCACAAGTACAACAACAGCAAAAACAACGATGTGCAGCAAAGCGTGATTGTAAAAGCGTGGCTCACATAGGCAAGAAGACGGCGAAAATGATGAAGACACTGTCCATGATTCGGAGAAAATAGTTTTATGATTTGTGGTTTGTGCTGGCTTGGTTATTCCCGGATTGACTGCTCCTTCTGTTGTAGGAGGTGTGTATAAGGCGCAGACAAAGTATACTCTCTTTATGAAATTGGATTAGATCCATGGATTATGTTAGATAATCTATAAAGAGTTCAGTTTATAGAATAAATTAACTTTTAAATAAATAAATCCATACCTGTCGTAGATGGGTTTGTACGCATAAAAACCCCTAACAACATGAAATGCTTAAAAAAAGCAAAAAAATATTTTTTCTATGCACATACCTACATATATGTTTAGTGCTGATCAAAGCTATAAGTTCCGAAAACTACTTGTAATTACCTAAGGTTAGCTTGAGAGGTCCACATATTAATACAAGTATTAACACTTATACTTGAATGACATTATTAATCCATTCTGATGCCTTTTTAGTTGCCAGTGAGAGACGAGCTACACTAACCGTTGTTTGCATTATAACTCAATCCTCCAGATTATACAAGAATCTTTGCTAAGATTTAACCCACTGATTAAATGTGTTAAAAATATGAATAATGAAATCCTTTCGTCTGCACCCCTGAATATGTATATAGAATATCACTAAAGAAGTAAACTTCCTCCAGTATGCGTTTATCAGAAAACGAAATATGTTGAAGCTTCAGCGAAATGTCAATGAGCCCCATTAATACTCTAGT